ATTATTCATTATAAATTGAATTTTGTTCTTATTTTTATGATTTAAATTAAAAATTTCTCTCTTTTAATTAGTTAGATTTCTCGATTTCTTTTTTTAGGAATTTAAATTATTTATAAGATTCTAGATTTCATTTTATTTTATTTTTTATTTATTTCTTTCCACTATTTCCTTTTTATCTTATGCTGTTTTTTAACCTTAAATTGTCCTCTCTTCCCTTATTTTTAATTGCTTTTCCGTTCCTTCGACTGTTTATAATATTAGAGTTTATTCATTTACTTTTTCCTATTCTTCTTCGAAAATTCTTTGCTAGATCTTTTTTTCAAGCATTTATTTATCGTTTTTTTCAACTTTTACTTTTTTTATTTATTTATCTTTTTATTTTTTTTCGATTTCTAATTATTATTAGAAATTCTTTAATAAAAAATTAATTTAATTCTTTTATTTTAATTTTATATTTATTAATTTTTCTTAATATTTTTGTTTTAAAGATTCTTCTTGCGAATTTTCTACTGGTTAATGTGTATTATTTAATTATGAAATATTTTGTTTATTTTATATTTTTTATCTTAACTATTTTTTTTCATAAATATATAAATAATGCTTTTTTTTTGATTATTATTTTACTTCTTTTATTTAGTTTATTATTTATATTCTTTTTTCTTATTAATGTTAATATTTTAAATCAATATAATCTTATAATAACTCTTTTGGGATATTTATATTCTTTTTATATTATTATTCTCTTTCTATTTCATCTCTAGTTTTAAGTTATAAGTCTTTAATTGTATAGCCTAATTAATTCATTGCTTATAATGAAGTGGGACTTTTTATTTATTCTTATTTGTTAAGATTTATATTTTATATACCTAGAAATTTCTTATTCTTTTTGACAATTTATCTCTGAAATCATTTTTTATTTTTTTAGTAAAAATTATTATTTATTTTATGTAAGTTTTATTTTTTATTATAAAAAAATTGTTTACATATATTTATATAATTATAATAAAATAAAATTAAAATTAATAAAATATATTATAATTAAAAACAATTTAAAAAATAATCATTATTTTTAAAATTATTAATTCAATTATTTTTCTTCATTATATACCTATTTAAAAAAAAATATTATATATTTAAATTTTTATATTATTAAAATTTACATTAATAGAAAAAACATTTATTTATTAATGAGATGTTAATACAGACTCTTCACTTTTAATTTTATTTTTTTTAAGTTTTTCTAATATAACACAACTTGCACTACTTTTTTAAGCATTATATATATTTTATGATTATAAATCTACTTAACTAGTTATGTTTGATTAAATTTTAATATTTTAAAGATTTTATTAAAGATTCAAATTAGTTTAATGTTATTATTATATTTTTGAAGTATTATTAACATAATATTTATTTTAATCATAATATTACTAGTATATTTAATTTTAGTGATTTGATTATAAAATTTAGGAATCAATTTTAGGCTTTATTTAAATAGGTAAGATATTAACTTATGATTCAATTTATTTTTATTAAAAATTTTATTATAATTATTATTGTAATTGTTATTATTATTATTATTATTAATATTATTATTATTATTAATTTATTGTTTAATATATCTATTATATGCATTGTTTAAATACTTATTAATTGTTTTATTATTAAATTTTTGGTTTTTATTAAATTTATAATTATTTATTATTTATTAAATTACTTGAAAAATTTATTTATTCTTATTTAATTTATAATTAGTCTTAATTTTTTATAATTTATTATTATAAATTTTGCTAATTTTATGATTCTATTTGTTTTTAAACTTATATATTAATGTCTATTTATTAAATATTATTATATTTTTATGTTTATTATTATTATTCTTATCTATAAAATGATAAATTATTTTTTTATGATTTTTAAATTTATAAATTTTATATTTATTATATTTCTTATTAATATATTTTTTATTTTAATTATTCTTATTATTATATTTTTTATTTTTATTATTCTTATTCTTATTATTATTCTTATTCTTTACCTTTTTCTTTTCTTCTTCTTATTATTATTATTATTATAATTATTATTATTATTATTATTATTGTTATTATTATTGTTATTATTATTTTTATTATTCTTAATAAATTTACTTTTATGGAGATGGATTCTGTTTTTCTTATAAATATGAATTTTCTATATTTTTTTTTATTTGTTTTGCTTATTAATTATATTGTTTTTATTATACTTATTATTAATTTATAAATAAATTTAAATTTTATTATTTTTGTATTTATTAATTTTTTATAAATTATTATTAACAACTGATTTCCTATTATTTTATTATAACTTATAATTCTTTATTATTTGATTAGTTTTAATTATTAGGTTATTACATTAATATATTTTTTTCTAAATTTTATTATTTTAAATTGTTTTATTATTCACATAAAATAATTTATTCTTTTTATATTTATTTTGTAAAATAATCTATATTAATTATTTTATCTTATTCATTTAGTTTGTAGTTTTATAATTCATTTATGTTTATTATTTTATTTTAAGTTTAAATAATTTATTACTTATTATTATTTGATTAATTTTATTATTAATTTTTTTATTTTTTTTATTAAATTTTTTAAACTTAAAGATTTTAATGCGATTAATCTTTTTATAAAACAATTAATTGGCTATTATTTTTTAATAAATACTTATTTAATTAACTTTATTATTTAAAACGAGATAAATTTTCTTTTTACAAATTATCTTTATAATTTGATGTATAAAATTATATATTTTATTATAATTTTCTATTTTTTTTCTAATTTTTTCTTAATTCTAATAAATGTTCTTTAGAAATATCTTTAGTATTATTGGAAAGAGACTTTTGCTTTAATTATCTTTAATTTTCCAATCTTTAAAAAAGTTTTTCTTTTCTAAATTAAAGAGCTTATTATAAATTAATCTAAATACTCTCACATTAAAAATTTTTATTATTTTCTTTGTTATTAATACTTTCTTCATCTTATTCATGAATAATTTATTATAAAATATTATTATTATTATTATTATTATTATTATTATTATTATTATTATTATTTATAATATTTTATTTGTTTTATTTTCCTTAACTATTATCATTATCATCCCATTTTATTTCAAATTTTACTGGTTTCTGAATAATTTATTTTTTGATTTTTTAATTTTTATTTTTATCTATGTATTCTTCATCTGCCGAAACTTCAGTTTATGTAAATGTTCTATAACTTAAATCCCATTTTTTTCTTTATTTTTTGTCTAAACAACAATTCACATTCAATTTTTCTGCATCATTTTCAGATTTAAATAACTGTTTTTCATTGTTTTTTATAATTTCTTCTTTTTTTATATCTTTTTGTTTTTGAATATTATTTTCTTTTATAATTTCATTTGGTTTTTCAACATTATTATTATTATTATTTTAATTATTATTATTTATATAAACAGGATATCCTACAAAATTTAAATAGGGAATATTTCCATATTAATGATTTTAGTTTATTATCATTTAAGGTGGTATAGGATTATTAATTAAAATCTGAGAAGGAATACCTTATTACATATACTATTAACCTACTTATAATTGCTATTAATATAATAATAGTTACTATTATTATGCTAAAATTTTCATTTATAGGCTTTATTATTACATTTAGAGTTAATATTGCTCTATTTATTATTATTATTATAATGCTAGTTATTTTTATTTTTCTAATTAAGAAGTATAATAATTATTCATTGATTCAGCTTCGCTTTTGTTTTCTTAGTCACTGCTTTTTTTTTAGTGTCTTGATTCTTTTTTATTATCTTCATTATTTTAAGGTTTTATATTTAAATTTATATATTTTTAGACAAATTAATATTTATTTTATTTTGGATCTATATTTTTTTCGTTTATATCTTTTTTTATTTTAAATTAAGTAAAAGAAATAATTATTTTATTTTTATTTTTTTACATTAATAATTATTTTATTATTTATTGTTGAATTTTGGACTTTTATAAGGAGTACTAGAGATTGTTAATTCATTTTATTATATTTAATCTAGATTATTCTTTATTTATTTTTTTATTTTATTTTTTTATTTTTTTTATATATTTTTATTTTTTATTTTTTTACAAATCTTTCTTAGTTTGTTGTAGTATTAAAATTTATTAAATCATTATAAGAACATCTTAATTTTTAGAAAGTTTTTGAACTTTATAAATGTTTTTATTCTAAATTCTTTATTTTACATTCTATCTCTGAAGCATAGTCTAAATTATTACTTTTATTTTTTAAAAAATAAGTATATATTAACTTATTTATTATTTTTTTATAAATAAAGTATACATATTTTTATCTATAGATTATGGCTAATAAATATAGTTTTATGATTTTTGATAGGTTTTTCTACTTTTTCTTTATTCGATTTCTCCTTAAAATGATATATTTTTCTAAATAATATTTATATTTATTTTATATAAAATAAATATGATATATATTTTTTTTTAAAAAAATAATAATATAACAATCTATGTAATATGGTCAGTTTCATATCCTTTTTAATGCTAAAAAAACTTAGTATTTTTAATTTTTCTTAAAGAAACGGAATTATTAGATTATAATTTCATTTTATTTGATTTTAAATTTATAAATATATATTTATATACAATAAATTAAAAAAAAAAATATATATAAATATTAAAAGTTAAATTTTTCTTTGCAATAAATAAATATTTAAATTTTAAATACAATATAAATTATTTATTATAATAAATATTAAACAAAAAAATAATAAACAATAAAAACTATTTATTTAATGAAAATAAATAATTAATTTTTATAAAAAAATATTATTATGTTTAACAATATTTTGCTATTATTATATTTTTATTTTATTAAACAAAACAAAAATAAATGAATTATTTTCATTATATAACAATTTTTTATTTGAATATAGAGAGAAAAAAAAAAAAAAAAAAAAAAGAGAGAGTAATAAAAAAGGCATAAAAATATAAATAAAAAAAAAAAAAAAAAGAGAGAGATAAATAACTTTTTTTTTATTTTTCATATTCAATTGTTTTTATGTATTCTCTATTGTAAATTAGGGAATTTTTTCGCAACATCTTCTGGCACATCTAAATCTGTATAAACTTTAGAATTTCCTTAATGCAAAAATCCGGTGTTTGTAAATTAATTCTAAGCAACTCCTCTTGGTAATATAACAGGTTAACCACCTCCTAATACAGCAGGTTAACCAATAAAACTTTATTAGATTAATGGCTAAAGTGTTCTGGATTATACTAAAGGTTTGGTAACATTTCTTTTAACAGATTCTAATACATGTTAAGGAACATCTATATGCCCAAAATGTTTTCCTTATAAGGCAGGGAATTTTTTAGCAATTTCTTCAGGGACGTTTTAATGATTGTAGTGATTTTATTGGGACATTTTTTTTTTATTTAATTTATTTTTTTAATTATTTTTTTTATATTATTTTTATTAATAAATAAAAAGAAAATAAATAATTAATATTTTTTTATAACTCATTTATATATATATAAATTAAATTTTTAATTACCTATTATACAGTTATACAATTTTTAAAAAAATTGATTTTTTTTATTTTTGTGTTAATATAAACAATCATTATAATTAGTTAATTAATTTCCTTTTTTTTATATATATTTTTTTAGCATTTTTTTTTATGAATAAATTATATATATTAACATTAATAAATAAAAAAATTATTTATATGTTGTTTAATAAATAATATTTTGTTAATAACTAATAATAATTAAATCATAATATATTATTATTAAATAATTAATTAATGCTTTTTTTTTATAATCAAAATATTTAATAAAAATTTAATTAATGCTTTTATATTTAGATGACTAAAATTTATAAATAAATATATAATTTATAAATTAACTTATATTTAAAAGGAAAAAAATATATAACATATAACTTTTATTAAAACAAATATTTTATATGTATTATTAACTTTAAATTACAAATAAATATAATTTAATAATTTATATGCATTTATTTTTCATAAATAATATAATTTAGTTTATATATTTATGATTTATTATTTATATATATTATTAACATTCTAATATTTAACTTTAATATATTATTTTTATTTTTTTAATAAAATATAATTAATGTATTAAATTTATTTTTTTATTAAATATATAATATATGATATTTTTTTCATTAAGTATATAATTTATTTTTTATTCATTAAGTATATAATTTTATGTATTTTATTTTTATTAATATATTTATTATATATTTTTTTTTCAATTCGATAAAAAAGAAATAAAACATTTTAAAATATTTTGTTATTTTCTAATTAGTATGATATATTTAATTATTTATATAATTGTAGATTATATTTAATTTTTTTGTTCTCAAGTAAGTTATACTTGTTTGTATTTTTTTAATTTAAATTTATTGATAATAATATAATAAATTATTTAGTTTTTTATTATTATTTTAATTAAATATTAAAAATAAAAATGTTTTAAAAAATATTAAAACGAAAAGTTTATTTAAATCATAATTTTAGAAAAAATATAATTCGTATTTATAAATAATGTTAAAAACTTAAAATTTTTAATAAAAATATTCAATTATTTAATTTAATATTTAAAAATAAAAATATATAATTTAACAATATAAAAATATTAAATAAAAATACATATATATATATGATTGAAAGTGATTTAATAAATATAAACAATATTTAAAAAAGTAAACTATTCAAAAAGTTTATAGAAACAGAATAGAGTGATTGTGATTAAGGTAAATCATAAGAATTACCCTCGAAAAATTTTATAGAAAGTCCATTTAAAAAAGTAAAGAATTAATAAAATATATTCCAAGATGTAATAAAACTATAAAAAAATTACTAAAATAATTTAGATTATTAAAATCCTAGTACTTTAAATTCTTCTAAATAATAACAAAATTGTATTTCACCGGAAAGGTTTTATTATAATTCTTAATAACAATAGGATTATATGAAAAATAATGATCCAATAATATAAAATAATGCATTTAGTTCAAATATCTATTAAAGTATAAGCCCTTAAATTTCGTCTAATTAATAAGTTTTATAACATATACCTTATAATTCTAGTATGGAATATAACGAAGACAATTAAAATCAAAAAGCAGATTATTATCTATAAGATAATATAAAAAATGAGTATTAAAGTTAAAAAAATAAGTAATTTAATGATTTGGAAAATGTAATCGAATAATTAAAAAGATAAAACGAATAAAAAGAAAAAGAGAAAAATTGTAAAAAAAATATTCTATTTTTATTTATTTTTTTTCAAAAAAAATAAAAAAGAAATCATTAATAAATATGAATTCGAACTTTAAAAATATAGGTCAAATTAATAAAAAAATGATTTAGATTTTTTCGGTTTATAATCTTAAATTCAAGAACTTGAAAAAAAAGAAATCTATTATAAAAATGAAGTAGATAAAATTAATTAGAAATTATTATTAGAAGAAATGTCGAAAAAAAAAGAAGAAGATTATTCGAAAGAAAAGTAGTTTATAATTGATTAATTAAGATAAGAAAATTAGTAATATAATTTAAATATTATTATTAAAGTTAAATTAAATAAAATAGAGAATTAAATAAAACAATAGCTAATAAAGATGATGAAATAATTTAATTAAAACTATCATATGAGTAAATAAAAGCAAAAATGAATTCTTTAAATTTAAATAATTAACGCTATTCTGACAAAATTAATGATACTTAAAGATAATAATTTATATATATAGAAGAAAAAGAAGAGAATTCAAGAAAAATTAACGAACTTTAAGAAAAAATGAAATCTTTTTAATTAGAATCAGAAAGACTTAAAACTGAGAATTTAAATTTAAATAAATAATTACATGATGCTTAATTTTAATTCGAAATAACAAAAAATGATCTTTATAATTAAAAACAACTACTTTTGGAAAAATCACATAAAGAAAATATTAATTAAATAAATGTTGATAAAGCCAATTTAGAAATTCATTAATTAAGAGCTTTATTATCTAGAACTGAATAAGAATTATTAGTATATATAAAAATTATTATATATATATATTTATAATATATAATATATATATATATATATATATATATATATATATATTTATATATATATGTTTTTTTCCAATTTATTAGGAATATAAAGATCATAATAATTATTTAATAAAAAATTTAACTGATTTAAATAAAAATTAAATTGAATAAGGATAATATTCAAGATCTTATTATATAAATCCTTAAAAAGTGCCTTTTAGTACTTTAGAATAACCAAACTTAACAAATGCGGCTTATTTAAAACCTTCATGTTTATAAAATAATAATAATAATGCAAATATAGGTTAAAATAATAATGAATATAAAAGGGGTAGAATAAGTACTTAAATTAAATAAAACAGTTAAAGAGAAAATATATCTCCTAATAGTCAATTATTTAAACCCTAAGATCATAATATATTTGGAAGTGATACTTCTGATAGGTTTTAAAAAAAGTCAAATGAAGGAATATGGAACCCTTTAGAGGCTAAAAGCGAAATGGTAAGACCAAGTGATCATTAACTGTTTCCAAATTAAAATACTTAGATAAACGATTAGTTTTAAAGAAACCCAAATAAAATAGGATAGTCTCCATTTAAAAATTTAAGTGATTTACCAGCAGCTGGAATAAAGTCTAAATCTCCAAGAAATAAATTTGAAAATAATAATGATAGTTAGTTTATTGAAAAAGGAGGTTATAGTGGAAATTTATAGGAAAATATATAAATGATGATATAGGATAAATAAGATGTAATTTTTTTTGTTTATTTATTACTTTTTTATATATATTTTAGCTTGAAAATGAACTAAGAAAAATAGAAGATATGAAAAGAAAATCAGGAGCTGATATTAGAAGAAAAACTGATATAAATAAAGAAATATAATATATTGATTAATAAATTTAATAGTCTAAAATATAGTTAAATAAATGATTTTTTGTATATTATAATATATATATTAATAAATTATTATTATATATATATATATATTAATATATTATTATTATATATATATATTAAAATCATTACAAAAAATATATATATTATTAGATATATTTTAATAAAAAATTTAATTTAATAAGAATAAAAAAATAAACATGAAAATTTTTTCTTAATATTAATTATAAAACAAATATATTTATATATAAAATCAAAAAGTTTAAATTAGCTTTCCCTATCTCCAAATACAACTAAATATTGACTAATCTTTATTATAAAAACTTCCTTACCCATTAACGATTCCATTTTAGAAATTCCCAATAATTTTTTCACCTTCGATTAAATTCATAGTTCCGAATCCTTCTATTTTATTATTTTTGAAGTCTCCTTCATATCTAACCCATTAATTAAATTTAATTATTTAAGAAAGATCTTAATAATTTATATTATTATTATTATTTTCATTATTTTTATTAATATTAAATAATATTCCACATCCATTTTATTCTCCTTTTACCCAATCTCCTTTAAAAATTTCATTTGAGTTTTCATCTTTTAAAATTCCATATCCGTGAGGAATATCATTTTTAGTCATTCCTTCGTAAATTAAATTATTTTATAATTTTATTTTTTAGTATTTTTATTTCTTATTTGGTTGTTTCTCTTTTTCTTTTTATTATTTATTTTGTTATTATTATTTAATTTATGTTTAAGTTTTTAAATATTATTATTATTATTAAATGGTATTTTAGTTTGCTTAATAAATTATATTTCCTTTATTTTATTTTTAAACTATTAAGTTTTTTTAAACAAGAGTTCCTATATTTCTAATAGGACTATATTAATTATCACATGGGATATGCTTTTATATAACTTAATTATTAACTATAACATTTTTATCTTCATTATCAAATTTTTAAGTACTTTAATTTTATTATTATATTATATTTTCTTTTTATTCATTAATTATAAAAGAATTAATTTATGGTTTTTTTATTTTATCTTATTATTATTATATTGAATATTATTTTTATTAATTTTTAAATTATTATTGTTATTATTATATAAATAATTACTATTATTACATATATTATTATTAATTTAATTATAATTAATTTAATTACTATTATTAAATATATTACTATTAATTTTATTATTGTTATTATTATTATGTTTTTAATACTTATTATTATTATTATTATTATTAATTCGACGCATTTATTTTATTATTTTCTACCATTTCTTATTTTATTTTCTCAGATCTTTAAATAGCTTCATTTAATTTTTATGTGTTATTTTTAAAACTTTCTGGTAATTAAAGTGCTAAAGGATTTATTTATTAATTTATCTATTATTAATAATTAGTATAAAAATTTTAAGATGAATTAAAGTATTATTTTTGATCTAAAACATTTTATTTATATACTATATTACTTTTTGCGTAATTTTATTATTATTGCATAAACAAGTGCTAATTTAAAGATTAATTTCTATATAATTATTATTATTACTATTATTATTATATTTATTATTTTTACTATACTCCTTAAAATTATAACCTTTATTAAGAATTACTTCTTACTTACTTTTAGGCAGAATAAAAAGAATTTTTATCTAAAATTATATTAGAATTATTAAAGTTATTCATTGATAAATTATTTTAGTCAACTATGACATTAGATGTAAATTTTCTATCAGTATCATTGAAATATTATAAAGATCTACCTCTTACTAATTATTATTGTTTAGGTAATTAATTTATTGGATTATTTACATGTGAAATGGATGTTTAAGGTCTTACTGTCGGCTGGAACATTTAGTTTCTTGTTTAATTTATGATTTAATTTATGTAAACTTTACTCATATTATTTTATTTTTTTGTTTAAAAAAAATTTTTCTTTTTCTTATCTTTTTTGTTATATATTTATTTTTAAATTTTTATATTTAAAAAAAAAATATATATAATTTATTATTAAATTATTAGTATATTTATATATATAAATTTCTTCTTAATATTTGTTTTTATTTTTTATTAAATTTAATTAAAGATAAAATTAATAAATATAAATAAAAAATACACTTTATTTTAATAAATATTTTATTACATATATACATATTTAAAATAAATCTAAAAAAAAAAAAATACATAAAAAAAATGAAAACACACGTAGGTATTTTTAATAAAACAATAAATAATAAAATCGGATTATTTATAATATATTTAAAAAATTATTAATATTAATAGAAGTCACATCATCAAGAAGAAAATAAAGAAAAGCTCATTTCGGTTCTCCTTCCCATTTAAGACAATAATTAATGTCTGCTCATCTTTCAGCTGATTTGAGAAAAAAATATAATGTAAGATCATTACCAATTAGAAAAGATGATGAAGTTATAATTGTTAGAGGTATTTAATTTGATAAATTTTTTTATTTTTTATAAAAAATAAAAAATAATCTTTTTTCTTTTTCTATAGGTAAATTTAAAGGAAATAAAGGTAAAGTTACTTAAGTTTATAGAAAAAAATGGGCTGTTCATGTTGAAAAAGTGTCTAAAAATAAACTTAACGGTATTTTTATTAATTAAAAGATGTTTTATTTTTTATATTTAAAATAAAAAATTAAAAAAATAGGTGCTCCATACTAAATTCCCTTATCTGCTTCATAATTAGTTATTACTAAAGTGAAATTAGATAAAAATAGAGAAGACCTTTTAAAAAGAAAGGCAGCTGGTATTGCAAAATAAAAAGGATAAAAATATACAGTAGCTTGATTTATTTTTTAAATATATTTTATTTAAAAATTTAATTTTTTTTTTTTTATTGCATATAAAACATTATACTGTTTTATTTTAACATTTTCTTATTTTTCTAATTTAAACTGAAGATATTTACTTTTTTTTTTAACATATTATATATATAAATATATATTAAACTTAACAAAAAGTTTTAATAAATATAAAAAAAAGCTTAAAAAAATAACTAAAAATACTTAAAAAATAAATTTCTTTTTTTTATATAAAAATTTAATATATATTTTAAAATTGATAATTTTTTATTAAAAATTGATAAATTCAATATAAGTATATAAATATGATGAAAATAATTATATATATAAAAATTTGAAGTAAAAAGAATTGCTTGTAGAACTTATTTATAATTATTAATTTTATATAAATAAATAAAAATATTTTAATCTATTTCATACAATAATAATTTAAAAAAAAAAATAGCATTGTTAAATCGAAATATTTTTATTAAAATTATTTTATTTTTATAGATATATAGAAATTTTTGATTATCATTTTAATTAATATATAAGATTAAACTATAAAATTAAATTTTATTAAATAAAACTTTTGAATTAATTAATTTTTAAAAGAATAAATTTTAAAAATATAATAATTAAAATTTTATATAAAGATTAATAATATATAATGAATATATTATTAATCGTATTATAATATTATATATATTATATATAATAAATATAAATATAAATATAAATATAAATATTTATTAATTTTTATATATATAATTTATATTTAATTTATGATATTTCTTTTTTTATCTTTAAGTATTATTTTTCTTTTGTAAATTCTTTTATTTCATTTTTAAATTTTATTTTTCTTAAAAATATATATCGATTAAATATAATATGTTTATAATTAATTTTTAATACATAATTAAATTCATTATTTTTTTTAATACATATATCAAATCAATATTATATATTTAAATAATACACTTTTTAACATACTATTATTTATTTAATAATATAATTTTTTACATATATTATATCATTATTTTAAATGATTTATATTAATTTTATTTTATTTTTAATTAATTTTTAAAAATGTATTGTTTTATAGATTACTTATTTATTTAATTAACAAAATTTTTTTTTTTATTTTTTAGAAATCTAGTATTTGAAGAATTAGAATTTTTCTACAAAATTTATCGAAATTTATTTTTGTTTTGTTTTAAAAACTTTAATATTGTGTAATACTAATTTATTCTTTATATTAAGTATGTGAGTTTAAAATTGGTTAAATTTTATATTTTAAAACTTTATTTCTGTTATTTACAGAATTTAATTTTTAAATTGAAATTTTATATAATTTTATAAATTATATCTTTGCTTATATTTTTTGTATATATTAAAGTATTTGTTTATTAATTATATTAAATTTAAATATTTTTTTAAATCTTTATAAATGATTTTTAATCTTAGGAAGATTATTATTTGATGTTAAAAATCATGAAATTAAATAATTTTTCTTAACTAATATTAAAATACAAATTTTATCTTAATTAAAATAAAATATTTAAAATAAAAAAAATATATTTATTTTCTAAAAAAATATTAAATTTATTATATATACAAAAAATATTTAAATAAAATAAAATATATTTATTAAAAGATAAATGAATAAATAAAAGAAAAAAATTATTTTTAAAAAAACATATAGAGCAAACATATAATGATTTTTTTAATATTATTAAAAAAAACAAAAAAAACAAAAAAACAAAAAAACAAAAATAAAAATAAAAACAAAATATTGATATTGAAATTATTAGTCTTTTAAAATAAAAAAAGTTTGTTTTTAAATATTTTAAATTGTTTTTTTTTTTTGGTATAATAAACTTAAAAAAAATATTTATATTAAAAACAATCAAAATTCTAGCTTTTATAGTATTAATTAAATGGTACACTTTTAATCTAAATTATAAATATATAATTTTATATACATATAAAAAAAAATTATTGATTTTGAAATATCAAACAATTAAGATAATTAAAGAGTTAATAAAAAAACATTTAATATAAAATATTTATATATATATATTATTTAAGTCAAAAAATAAATAAATTTATAAAAAATATATAACACATGATTGAAAAAACAGATATATAAAGTGTTGTTGAATATAATTAAGATACTTTATAAAAGAATATTAAATTAAATGAAAATTAAATTTTAATTAATACCTAAATTAAATTATAAATTTAAAGAAAAGAAGATTTAAAATACTTAAAAAATTTAGCATCGTTTGGAAATAAATAGTATGCAAATAATATAAATCTAAAATTTTAATAAAAAAGCAAAACAAAAAAATTAAAAAAAAAAATTTATTAAAATACACATCTTTAATTTTTTTTATTTTAATAACATTATTAAATATAAACTAATTATATATTTTATTAAAACTTTATTGTATTTAATAAAAAAAAAAATACATAAAAAATAAAGTTAAATAACATAAGATTCATAGTAGATATTATTAAATATTTTAAAATATAAACAGAATTCCAGATAATTAATAATAGATGAAGAAATATAATATGGGTATAATATAATATAAGAAAAAAAAATATTTTATTAAAATAGATATATATATATATATATATATATATATATATATATATATATATATATATATATATTTCAATATTTAATACAAAATATTTATTAATAAATAAAATATATTATTATCATTATTTAATATTTTTATTTATTTTTTAAAGCTAAAAAGAGAATAATGAAGTTAATCCATTAATCTTTACAAAAAGGTAAAGACAATTTTTAAGTAAATAAATGAATTAATGGATAATAGCATTTGAAAATTACTTAACTATTGTTGCGTAGTTATATTACAAGAAAAGCATGAATATAAAAGAAATGTTAATAATTCCAGGAGAAAATAAAGATTAATATATTGAAAATCAATAAAATAATTAAGAAAGAAAAAAAAGAGGAAGAAAATCAAATAATAAATAAAATATAAAAAATAATACATATAAAAATAGTAAAGAGGTTTTTAATTTAATGTCAAATAAAGATAATAATTCTGATATAAATAAAACATAAAAACAAAATATAAAAAAAATTTAAAAATATGAAGATAAATAAAACATAAAATCTTAGTAAAACGATATTTAAATATATGTTTTGGACTAAATATTAAATCCAATAAAAACAGATTATGCATTTGGTAATTTTTTTAATATTAAATATTATAATATAATTTTATAATTACTTTTGTTATTTTTAGAATTATGGAACCCAAAATAAATAGCTACTTTTGAATGTGCTATTTGTAAATTTGGAAAATAATTCGGATTTATATCAGCTTTAGTATAAATTATAAAATTGTTTATAAAAATTATATATATAAAATTTAGATAGGAAGTAAAACACATAGAGATGTTTATGAATTTTATATTTAATGGAAATTTACATCGCATTATAAAATATGGAAATATTATAGAAATATAAATAATTAAAATAGTTAATTAAATTTAATATGAAATAAAAATAATATATATAAATTATATATTTATGAAAAAAAAAAAAAATCACATTTTTTTAAAAATTTAAATAAATATAAAAAAATACATATAATAGCATGCTTAAAAAAATTTTTTCTTTATTTATGTCAAAATAATAACTTAATTTAAAATCATTTATTTTCCTAAAAATAATATATATATTTGTATATAATTATTTTTTACCACTAAGCTTTTTCTAACGTAAACTAATTACGATTATTATTATTATTATTATGATTATTATTTTTAATGAATCTTTTTAATATTATTATTTTATGGTATATTATATTTATAATTATTGTTTTGATTATTATTATAATTATTATTATATTTATTGTTTTTATTATATTTATTATTATATTATTTTCCTTATTGTCTATTATTTTAATGAATGCTATTTTAATCTTTTAATTATGCCTAGTTTTCTTATTATTAAACATTACCTTATTAATTCGAATTCTATTCTTTTTATTCAGTTTCTTATTGATTTTCTTATTTTTATTATTACTAGGTTATTTATTGTTTATCTTATTATTGATGTATTTCTTATTATTACATTTTTTGTTCTTGATAATTTTTTTCTATTTATTATTAAATCATTTATTAGTCATCTTAATAGATTTTTTATTCTTCTTCAACTTAAATTTATTCATCTTATTTTTATATTTAGTAATCGATATTTTCTTAAAATTTAAATCCATCAGTTTTAATTATATTCTCGACTTATTCTTCGAGTTATTTAGTTTCTTCGTTTTATAAATATTTTGTAATCAAGCCTGTTGCTTTTTCTATTTTATTAGATGTAATGTTATTAAAATATTCTTAATAACATAAAGCTAATTAATCATTACAATTAAATTAATAAGAATATTGTGAAGCGTAAAATAATTTGACAATTTTCTCGACTGTCATTTCAAGTTGATTTTCCGCTTTCTTTTCTTCTTCTGTTTTTTCCTTTAAAGCTTCCAAATATGTCTTCATAATTACTTATTCGTATTCTTTTAGCTTTTGTACGAATTCAAATTTAGATTCTATTTTTTTTAGTTATCCTTCTTTAAGAGGCTTTCCTTATTCTTATTCTTTTTCTAATTCTTAAATTTCTTTTATTTTCTTGTTTTAATATCTAATTTTTTTCTCTATATATGATATGAAAAAATCTTTTTAAGGGATGGCTTATTTACTCATGTTTTATTTATTTTTTTTATAATATTTTTTTTTAAATATCAAAAATGATTATTTTAATTTTATAGAGGGCAAATTTGTTTTTTTTTTTTTTTTAATAAAAATTAAATTTATTTATATTACAAAAAAAATTTTTAGATACTATTTTATATATATTATTAAAATTTATATTTAAAATTAAAATATATGTTCAGTTTGTAAATAAAATATTTAAATATATGTATATATATATATATATATATAATAATTAAATATATATATATATATATTATTCTTTATATATAAAAAATATACATAAATTTAAAAATTAAATTGTTAATATTTTTATAATATTCAATTTATTTAAAATTCTTATAATTTATTTTTATTAATTTTTTAAAATAAAATTATCTTGTTAATAATTTATAAATATAATTTTAATTAGTTTGCATCTTTCTTTTTTATTTTAATAATTTGCCTTTATATGTATATATATATTAAAAAATCAATGTAGATGATAAATTTTTATTTTTATTTAAAACAATCCAAAATCACTAAATATAATAAATTATTATTTAATTTATTATAATTATATATTTGTTTAAATTATTAAAAGCTAATTTAATATAAATATTATTATATTTTTAATTTTATAAATATTATTATTTATGTTATATTTATGTAATTATTCTTTGTCATTTTTCTTATAATAAAAATATATTCATTGATTAGATTTTAAGCATAAATATATTATTAAAAATAAAAATTTTAATTGTCTTTTCAATATAATATTAAACTATTAATAAACAAAATTGTTTATATTATTCTAGAAAAATAGAAAATTAAATATATTAGATTATGTATCCTTATTCTTATAAATATATATATATTTAATGACAGATATCCATTTTAATAAAATATTTTTGAAAAAGATCAATTATATTTTTTTGCAATTATATTTATTTTTTGTATTACAAAATATAGAAAATATTATTTTTCATTTGAATTATATAGGGTTCTAAATAATTATAATTATTTATTTTTTCGAATATTCTAAAATCTATAATATTTATATATTACAAGTTTTTTTTTTTCAAAAAAAATTTCTTTTAATTTAATATTTATTTGAATAAAGAAAAAAAAATTTATATAAAGAATTAATTATATAGTACAAAAAAAAAAAAGGAAAAATATTTCTTCTTAAAAAAATAATAAAAATTAATAATATAAATTATTTCAAATAAATAAAAATAAGTAAAAAAAATGAGCCAAAAAAAAGAGTGTTATTATAAAATTTTGGGTATTGAAAAAACTGCTACAGATGATTAAATAAAGAAGGCTTACAGAAAGCTTGCATTAAAATGGCATCCTGACAAAAATCAAAACAACAAAGAAGAAGCCACAATTAAATTCAAATTGATTTCTGAAGCATATGAAATATTATCAGATCCTGTAATAATTAAAAATAAAAATAAAAATAAAAAAAAAATATTTATAATTTTATTACTAGTAAAAAAAAGCTGCATACGATAGATATGGATTCGATGGTATAGGATAAGGTTCCGCCTCTTAAAATTATTAGAATTTCGATTTTAGTCATGCTAATGATATTTTCAAACATTTCTTTTAAGATTTTGGATTTGGGGATGATGATGATAATGATCCTTTCTTGTCATCATTTTTTGGCAGACATACAGGTAAAAGAGGGTCAAAAAGTGGAAGTAATAAAAATAATGGAGGTGGTATATTTGGAAATTTTGGATTCGGAAATTTTGGAATGATGGATAATGATGATTTCTTCTCTAATGGATTTGGAGGAGGATCTGGATTTTAATAAATGTCTTTCAATAGTAATATGGGAGGTGGATTTGGAGGCACTTCTAAAAGTGTATCTACTTCGACTAAAATTGTGTAAATTTTATATATTTTTTTTTTTATATATTTAAAACTATTGTATAGAAATGGATAATAATAAACAGTAAAAAAAACTGTAATTAGTAATGCTGATGGAACTAAAAATGTAACAGAAGAAATTATAATGGGAAATTAAAAAAAAGTTAATTAATATATGATTGATGGATAAAGTATTTAAAATAATTTTTTTTATTAATTTTTTATTAAAAAATAAAACAGATAAAACTCATTAAATTAAGAATTGAAAAGGAATTTTATTTAAAATAAATATAGAAAAATAATAATATATATATATATATATATATATATATATATATCATATATATATATATATAAAATACATAAAATATAATAAAGAAATTTATATAAAAATTATTTTTATAATGAAAAAAAATTTTATAAAATATTTGTTTCTTTGTATTTTTTGTATAATTAATATAAGGTTAATACATTTTTTTTAAAAAAATAATATGTTAATAAAAGAATATCAATAATATTTATATATAAAATAAAAAACATATTTATTTTGTATATTTATTAATATATAAATATTTTATTATTTTTTTATTCAAGAAGTAGCTTCTTCAGCCCATTTGTTTTCTTCCCTAATTTAAGCTTCTTCTTCTGGTGTAAAGTCATTAGGAATATTAAATGTTTTTCTTATTTCTTCAGGTGTTTTATCTTTTTTTTATATTATTAAAAAAATTAAATATCATCTATTTTTTTTTTTGTAAAATATATTTTTTTACTTTTGATTAAAGTAGCTACTTTTGCACATGCCAAATCTAAAAGAGATTTTATATCAAGATAATTTGCAGCTAAAATAATCTCAAATAATTATTCGAGATTTTCCATATCAATAAATTTAGCATCATATGGATCTACGACTTCACTTAAATTATTTGTGGTTAAAGGCTTTTCGATTTCAGGAGGATTATCGTTTCTATGTTTATCACAATACTCCAATATTTTTCTTAAAATACTTTCTTTTACATTTGGGATAGGAATTGCTTCTTCAGTACCAGTATCTTTTTTTTTTATTATTTTAGCATTTTTTTTTTTTTTACCTTCAATCATATGCTTTATTACTTATGATTTTTTTGCGACTTCCTCATCAACCTTTTATTTTGTTTTTTTCAAATTGAATTTTATTTAATTTATAATATTTTTACTTCTATAACAACATTATCTTATGAAACTAATTTTACTTTATTAGAAATTTAATCCATTTTTTTATTTTATATTATTATTTTTTTAATACTATTTTTAAGAATTTTTGTTTTTATAATTATTTTTTTTCTTTTTTTTATAATAAATCTATTATTTGTTTTTACCTAACTATAAATTTAATTTATAAATATTTAAATTATAATTTATTATATTTTTTTAACTTTTTAATTATTATTCTTTTTATATATAAAAAAAAAATTATATTAATTATAATAGCATATTCTTTATTGAAATATTTTAAAAATATAATATGTATATATATATATATATTAATATATTAATAATTTATTTAATATTTACTATTGTAATAATATATTAATTATTATTTTTTAAAATTATAAAATAAACATTTTTGATTAAAGTTAATAACTTTGTATTAGAAAAAATAAAAAAAAAAAAAAATTCATATTATTTATTAACTTTTTTTATAATATTATATATTTATTGATATATTTAGTATTATATTATATTTAAATTATCTTATTATTTTTAATATTATTTTAAATAATATATAATATTTTTAATAACATAATATTCAGAATTTTCATTATATTTAATAAAATTTAAATGATAAACAAAATTTTAACTAATTTTTATATTTAAAAATATTTAGAAATTAGTTTATTTGTTTTAAAAAAATCTTATTAAATATTTATTTATAAACTAAATTATAATAATAAATAAAATCATATATTTAATAAATAAATAATTTTTAAAATATATAATAAATCAATTTATTATTTAAAATTTTATTTCTAAAAGTATTTTAAAAAAATATTAGAATTTTTATTTTTAAATATATAATAAAATTAATAAAATATATAAAGATTAACATTGAAATTAAAATAATAAAATATAAGTTTATAAAAAATTTAAAATATAATATGTAATTATAAAAAAAAATTAAATAAAATATAATAATAAATATATATTTATTTATATAAATTATATATATATTTTTATATAAATATATATATTATTATTATATTTTATTATATTATTTAAATAATTTGAAACAACAAAAATTTATTAATAAAATAAAAAATGAATTTGCCATAAGTATATAAAAAATAAATACATTAAAAAAAGATTAATTTAAATTTAAAACAAGATTTATAAAAAACAATAAGTTAATATACAAAATTTATTAACAATGAATTAAGATGTTGAAATTCCTGATTCTGAAAAAATTAAATTTGTAAAAATTATAAATTAAAAAAAAAATAGTTAATTATATAATTAGAGAAATCCAAAAAATTTATAATCAAAAAATATGACTGAAATATTAAATGGAAAATATATAGAAAATTAGGCGCCTGTATAAAATAATATAACTTTAAAAAGACCACAAAGCAGACCTAATACAGCAATAAAAAAAACTATTAAAATAGTAATAAGAATAATAATAATAATAATAATAATAATAATAATAATAATAATAACAAAAGTTATAATAATAATAAAATATAGGATAATAATAACAATAAAATTAATAATAATAAATAATTGAAACAGTTAGTGAAAATAATTTAAATTTCAATTACAATGATGATAAATATAAAAACCTATAATTAGAATTAAATAATAAAATGTAAAATTTAGGAAATTATAATCCTAGTGTAGATAAAATGATTAATTTATATGAAGCATAAGATTAGTAATATATATATATATATATATTTTATAAAATTTTTTTTGTTTAAACTTAGTGAATTAAAAGATAGAATAATGAATTAAGAAAGAGTTATTACATATTTAATAGAATAATTAAATAATTTAGAAAGAAATTTACAAGGAGAATTAAGAAAATAGAAAATATCAGTAGATTTCGAGAAAGATTATCGATCTAAATTAGAATCAAATTTTAGGTTTGTTTAAGATTAAGTTATTTTTTTTTTATATTATTTATTTATATTTAAAATAAAATTAAAATAAGTATAATTAATTAAATAATGATTTATAAAATAAAGTTGATTTATTAGATTAAAAAATATAAAGAGAAGATAAAAATAAAGGAGAATTAAGAGAAAAAGTTAATATTTTATTTATTTATTTTTTAATGCTTTTTTTTTAAATTAAAAAAAGTTAATTTTAACAGAATAAAATTAAAAAGAAATTTTATTTTTTATGAGAAATATGCAATAAACAGTATTAAATATAAATATAAATATACATTTATAAAACATTCAGGAAACTTCGGAAATAATGCAATTAAGAAGTATGATTTAAGAAAGAATAACTGAAGAATCTTCTATATTATAAAAAGAAAGAGAAAAAAGTAAAGCTTTATTTATGGAAGTGGTCAGATTAGGAGAAACATAAGAAAGATAATTAGAAATTTAAAGTAATTTGTAATCTTAATATGAAAACAGAATTGCTGTTTTAGAAGCTTAGTTAAATGCAGGTTAAAAGTCTGTTACATAATTAGCCCAGAAAGGAGATTTAGGATTAAATTTTATAAATGAATGGAATGAAAAATTAGATAAAAGAACTTAGTAATTGGAATAAAATATGATATAAATTAATAAAGAATTAGTAAGAGATAAAGATTAAATTTAATTATTAGAAGATTATAATTAAAAATTTAAACTGATGTAAAAGGTATTTTAAGAACACTATAAAATGATTATGATGTAATTAATATAAAAAAATAAACTAAACTAAATTAAATATATATATATATATATTTATATATTTATATTTTTATATATATATTTATATATAAATATATTCATAGAGTAAATTAGAAATAAGAGTTATAGAAATAGTAAATAGAATAGTAATGGAACATGAAGAACGAGTAAGACAAAATGAAGAACTGAAATAAAATATAGATATCCGTGACAAATTAAATTAGGAGAAAAACTAATACGAAAAAGAAGAAATGAGGGAAAGATATTAAGGATTAGATGCCCTTATTAGGATTGAATTTCAAAGAAAAGATGAAGCAATAAGATCTATATAATAAATTTTTGAAAATCAAGTAAAAGGAATTTAAAATGCTATTCGATTTGAAGAATAAAGCCGGATATAATAAGAAAATGAATTTAGAAATGAAATCTTAAAAATGTAAGAGATTTTTTAAAGAGAATATGATATTTTTAAAAATTAATAATCTAATATTACTGAAAAAATAACTGAAATGATGAAAATTGAAATTTAAACTAGATTAAATTCTGATGTGTAAAATATATATATAAAATAAAAAAAAAATTATATATATTTATTTTTATAAATATATAAATTAAAATTAATTTAGAGATCTAAAAAATTTAACAAGTGCTAATAGCAAATGATATTGTTTAAGATTTAAATAATGTAAAAGATTCAATAGAAGTTTATAATAAAAAAATATAAGAATAGATTAAGGAAAATAGATTAGAAGGAGCAAGTCGAGCAGAATAGTTAAGTCGATATATAGATGAAGAAGTTAAAAAAGTAGTTGAAATATTTGCTAAAAAACATGAAAAAACTAAAACTATGTTCACTAAATTAGCTGAATAGTTCAAAACCATTTAATTAATACAGATATTAATAGAAAAGAAGTCGAAAAAAAATTATTTAGTTGGAAAAACAGGCGAAGATGCTAGAACAGAGACTTATAAGCTTATTGGGGATACTTAAAAAGCTTTTGATGGTAGACTTTTAGATGAAAAAAGGAATCTTGAAATACATATTGATACTATAGCATCGGCTATGTAGAATAGAATGGGTTAGATTCAAGAAGAAGAAAAAAAAGACTTGGAATTTGTAAAAGAAGCGATTGATAATACACGTAGAAATGTGTAATAATAGGGTTAATAATATATAAAATTCCTTATCATAATTCTAAAAATTAAACGAGGAATACTAAAATTAAATAAATGACAAAATTGATAATATAAAGGAAAATATGGGAATTTTCGAAGAATCAAATAAAATCAAAATCAAAGAAATGGAAGATAAAATAAATTCAAGTTTAATTCAAATTAAAAATGATACTAAATAAATGGAAGAAGTTAATTAAAAATTTTAGGAAAAAATTCAAAATAAAGTAATAATTTTAGAAGAAGAATAAGGATAATTAAAAATAATAACAAAGAAAGAAATCTAAAATATAAAAGATAATAATAATAATTTATAAAATGAACTTAATTAATTGATTTTTGATTTTAATAAAAATATTTAAGAAATATTATAATAAATAGATTAGACTGTAGATACAATAGAAGTAAATTTAATATATATATATATATATATATATATATATATATATATATATATATATATATATATATATA